ATTTGCATAGCATGTGTTTACAAATTAAAAATTAATAATAACCTTGTGGCAATGGATGAGTACTAAAAAAATGGGTAGATATTTTTCCTCTAGTTGCTAAAGTAACTCTTTCTTCTGACTCTTTCAGAATCAGATATTAACATTTGTACTCTGGTAATTCTTGTCACAGCAGTCTTTTTTGTTATTCTGGTACTGTATGTTACTCCTCCTTCCTTCCCAACTTGCCCTTTAATTACAACCTGTCACATGAACGTCTATGAAAGTGAATGATGTATATATAGCAACCCTGATGGCTGGCCTGGAGGGTGATGGGGACGGTGCTGCTCAAGCTGTTGTGCTATTAGACGCTTCACGTTTGTGTAGGCTTATTTTCAAGTCTTTGCATGTAAGTCCTTTTAAGTTACTGCTATATTTTTGTACTGATGGAGTGGAAAGTGCTCTTTTTCAGCCAGATTCTAAAGAACTTTTCCTTGATCTTGTTTGAGCATCAAGTTCTGTGCTTTTTCCTTTCCCCCACATAGTTTGTGTTTGCCCAAAATTGTGCTTTGCATTTCATTCAGTTTATGCTAACTGTAACCATTAACTGGGTGCTGTCATGTTGATATGGGAGGCTATAGTTTCCTTGGCATTAAAGTGCCATTTCATATATCTGGAACTCTTTAAGAAGTAAGTGACTGAAAATAATCTTGTGTGCTGGGTCTGCTTTGTGGCATATGAAAAGTGTTTAAAAAGCTGTAGACCAATCACCTTGGCTATGGTGTGCATTCATATTGGTCTTGACTCTTGACTGAAACTATTTGGCAGAATGGACTGCAGTCCCTGAGAGATTTGCATAGCATGTGTTTACAAATTAAAAATTAATAATAACCTTGTGGCAATGGATGAGTACTAAAAAAATGGGTAGATATTTTTCCTCTAGTTGCTAAAGTAACTCTTTCTTCTGACTCTTTCAGAATCAGATATTAACATTTGTACTCTGGTAATTCTTGTCACAGCAGTCTTTTTTGTTATTCTGGTACTGTATGTTACTCCTCCTTCCTTCCCAACTTGCCCTTTAATTACAACCTGTCACATGAACGTCTATGAAAGTGAATGATGTATATATAGCAACCCTGATGGCTGGCCTGGAGGGTGATGGGGACGGTGCTGCTCAAGCTGTTGTGCTATTAGACGCTTCACTGTAGACAATCTAAAAACGTGGCATGCCTGGTGTAATATGTTCAGAACACTTGAAAGCTGTGATTTCACTGCTTGGAACAGGGTAGTAAAAACATTTTGATAAATGGTTCTATGTGCAGATTAGTGTTCCTTTAAGTACCGTCAAGAACCTTAATACTGTTATGTTGTTTGTATTGATAGCAACACCATTACAGGGTAAAATGTTCAACATTTGCCCAGATTATGATTTGGATTTCCTGTGATCTTGTCTGTCTTTGAAAGCCTGACTGCTTGTATCTGTATGAGAGAATCCTAGCTGACTGCTTTCAAATGGAAATTACAGTTTTCTGACTCAGTTATACTCACTGAGGAGGGTGTTTTACGTTCTGTTGATTGATGCATTACTTAAAACAGAAACAATGTTCCCAAAGTCTTCACCAAAGCCATCACACAGTAGTCATTAAGAAGTTGCTCACATATTAGTCCTTTCATATGTAATATTTTCCTTGAAAATAGCAAGAGGAAGTTCAATTTAAATGCTAGGTGAAGCCAGTAAAACATAGTAACTGAGCTTGTTTGGCAAGTACATTTTGAGGAAAGGATGTGTGAGCCAGAAAGGAAAAAGCTTAAAGTCTTGTAGCATCCCTTTAATCCTATAGCTC